TCTTCTCATGTTATCATAGTTCTTGAAAGGCTTTTCTTCTCTGCTGGAGTTTAACTTATTTTCCTTTTTATTCCCTGTCACAGTTCCTGGCACATGACTCTGGACAATGTCCAGTGAGTGTGGAACAAACGGCCAATGACAGCAGTGAAGCCTCAGTGCCATCCCCTGGCCAGCTTCCTGCACTTGGTGTCCTCGGCCCCCTGGGATGTACTCTCTCCCTCTGCACAAGCTAGAGGAGACTTAGAAGCCAGCCCACCCACCAGGTGAATCGTGCTCCCCTCTTCAAGCAGAGTGACCTAATCCAGCAAATCATCTTCTCTCTCTGTGCCTTAGCTCCACCATTAGTGAGATGGGGAATGACAGTCCCCATCGAAGGATCACTATGGCAAAGTCAGGTGAGCATTGCCTGCGAAGTAACAAGCCTTGAGCAAGTGTTAGCTCCTGTTATTCCCTACACATCCCAAATGTCCCCTCACCCCCAGCTATGCCTTCAAGTCCATTTCTTGCCCTATGACCTTGATCACAGATTTTTTCTAAAGTCTCAAGTGCCTTTCCCAAGACTGACTGGGCCACCTGGCAGACATTCAGGCATCTTTCAAACTCCAGCTGCCCTCCAGCCCCCAAACCATGATGTGATCATGCAGTGTGGGTTTTTAGGTCATTCTTCTCTAGACTAGAAACCCCCGAGGGCAGGGAAGGGGTCTCACCCTCACTGTACACCTGCCTGTCACACCTGCCTAATCCATGGTGTGACACACGGGAGATGCTGGTGGAGGTTCCACAAGGACGAGAACACTGGCCTTGAAATCCCACAGACTGTTGTTTGAGTCCAGGTTCTGCTATGAAGTTTCCAAAGCCAACTTATTCTATGCTTTGGGCCTCAGTTTGTGATCTGGAAAATCTGCTGCTTGCAGTTGCCCGACTTGTAATGTTTCTGTGATAATTAAGGTGTAATTACTGTTACTTCTGCATTCCCTTCAGGATTCAGGTGTTCAGTAAAATCCTTCAACAAGCTCTTAACCCTCCCTTCACTAGCCTGTGAGCTTACCTCTCCTTGTTAGCATGTTTTTAGCTTCTTCTGCTAAGAGTCCAGCCCCTCTGCCTGGTTGTTAAGGCACTGAGACCTGGAATTTTCCTTCTGTCCCTTTTAATAAATGCAGGTGCAGCTTCCTTTAATGGGCTGTCAGTGGGTGGTAAGAATCTGGACCGCACAATTAAATGCAACAAATGCTTGGCTGTCTCTGTTAACAGCTGTGAAGCTCAGAAAACCCTTACGTCCTGAGAACTGAATTTCCAGAGTCTGTACACTCAGAGCACAGCGCACCGCTGTTGTAGACAGCACTGCTCCTGGCTCGTCACATTACTTTTCTCTTAAACTTGGGAGTTCACAGAGAGAAGTTGAACGGCAGAGGGTGGGAGAGGATGAAGTCCGCTCTTTAGGAAAATAATTAACCTGCAGATGTTTGCTGCCCTAGATGGAGAATCTTTCTTGCTTAACCTTAGTTTCCAGGCCCCTGAAATACCTGAACCCTTTTCCTCTCACTGCCTCTAACAGCTCCACCCCCGTGGCCCTTGGCTGAAGTGGGATCCTACAGAATCCAGGCTTGGTGTAAGTGAAGTTCTGTTTGCTTCCCCGGCCATTTAGACCTCACAGGGGTCAGTGTGAGGTTGGGAGAAGCCCAAACAAAATGCCAACCTGGGGTCCTGGAAGGCCCTCTGGGACCACCTGTGTTGCATGTCAATACAAATCCACCCTTGCTAGGGTATCTGATGTCTGTCTTAGACCAGATCAGAACTCATTGTTGGTGGCCCTGTTTATTCCAAAAACAATGCCTGGCATCCAAATGCAACTTCTGGGCTCCCTTGACCGGAATATCTTTCAAATGTCTGTAGGAGGTTGGTTACTTTTTTTCTGGTCATGCTAGCTCAGGAAGAACTGGTACTAGCTATAGTTTATGTTTTTACTTTCCAGGCCAAGAAATAGAACATGTGACACAGGGGGTAGGCCCTGCTTTCTGGAAGGTTATTAGTTTTGGTTTATTAATTTAACCAGTGTTTACTGAGCACCTACTATGTGGTAGTTAGGAGGAGAGGCAGTTAACTAAATCAGAATAGATTAGGTTTCTGGGATGGGTGACTGAGACACAGGAAAATTTTAAAAACTAAATAAGCAGAAGGCGACAGCTTACAGAGGTCAATGGTGAGTTCTGTTGCAGACCCAGACAGCCACAGCCCAGGATGCTGAAGACCCACAGTGGGCTCCAGAGACTCTGAGAGCCGGCCCGAGTGCCCCCTCCTTCTGCCTCTACCAACTGTGACACTGGGTAAGCGCCTGACCCTTTCTGAATCCGAGGTCCTTCGTCCACACAATAGAGATGATAATCCCTCTCTCAGGGGGCTGGTGTGAGAATGAGCAGTCAACATACTTCATAGTCCTGGAGCCTAGGAGGCACTCAGTAAACATGAGCTTTTTCCCTTAAGCTAGCCAGAGTGCTGGAGAAAAGGTGGGAACGTTGGAAGCAGACAGAACTGGATTTGAATTCCAGCTCTGTAGCTTACTTGCTGTGGGAGGTTGGGAGAGTCATGTACCATCTCTGAGCCTCATCCCCTCATCTCTTAATGGAGATGATGACGTCTGCCTCACAGGGTGGTGAGGGACGATGAGTTCATGCATGGGAAGCCCTGATGAGCCCTGGGGAGTCACCCAGTCCAAACTTTTTGGTGCAAGAGATTTCCCACCCTGAAAGGGCAGGGACCCATCAGGATTTGCTCACCAGTGTATCTCTGGATGCCTGTCCTAAAGCACCCAACACATAGGAAGTAATGAAAAATTTGTTGTGGCTAGAAGAAAGGAGGTCAAGTGTCCTCCTCACAAAGAAATGCTTAAGTGTGCCATGATGAATATGCTAACTACTCTGATTTGATTATCACATATTGTACACGTGTATTGAAACTCAACTGCGTATCCCACAAATATCTATAATCAATATGCTTCAATAAAAAAAAAAACTTGAAAAATATCTTATACTAAATACAGCTTGCAGAGATAACAATAAAAAAAGAAAAATTTTTGTTGAAAAAATGAACCTCCTAATTTTCCAAGGGAGAAACAAAGGCCCAAGGATGTTAAGTAATTTACCATTTCAAGGATAATTTTGCCCAAAGTCAAAAAGTGAGTTGGTGGCCAACCATGGGGATCTTTCCAGTGCATCATGGGAAGAGAGGCAGAAAGAGGCAGCGTGCACCCCCAGAGACCCCGGAGCAGGTGTGCAGCTCCTGCTACCTGTGGCCCATGCTGGCAGAAAGTGCATCAGCCCCTCAGGGCTGGGAACATTCTTACAGTATGATCAGAGCAAAGACTCCTGGGGATTGTGACTCACCAGGAGGAAGACCCAGAATGCTGGGAGTCTCCTGCTCCCTTTAGCTCTGATGGCAAGATTCAGAGCAACTCACTCAACAAGCAGTGCCATTTTTCACCTCCACATCACATTCTGATAAATGCAAAATGGGAGCAGATCTGAACTTGTCTAGATGAACTGGAAGAAAAATGAGGCAGAACCTTGGGGTGTTATAGCCTTTCTGAGCTCTATTATATGTGACACCATCTCATCTTCTATGCACTGAGAAAACTATGGAAATCATCCTTTTTATCATTGAGCCAGTGACAGTAACACTCAGGAGAAGCTGTCACATTTGGGGATAGAAAATCTATCTCCAGGAAGTGATGGTATGTGCCAAGACGCACGAAGACCCAGTCAGAACCACCTTGTAAAGCCATCCCAAAGCCTTGGCCGTGGGTGGATCCTCCAAGGCCCTCAGTCAGCCAGTTCTTCCTGACTCACCACCTTCTGGATTTGATCTGTTCGAGATCCCAATTCATTTTACTAGGCATGTGATCATGGGTAAATTTTATAATCCCTATGGGCTCCATTCTCTCATTTAAAAAAGAGAAGCAAGGTAAGGGCTCACCTCTTTAGGTTGTTGTAAGCACTAAATTAAACAGTGCACGTAAAACGTTCAGTAAAGTGCTTAGGACATAGGAGGCTCTCCAGAAATGGTTTTTGGTGCTGCTGTTGTTGTTTTGCTTTTTGTTGTTGCTTGTTCATTGCAGAAAAATATATATAACATAGGATTGCCATTTTAAGCATTGGTTACTAGAGACTGTTGTTGCTGTTTAAATTGTGCATTATCTCATCTGCCAGTGGACGGAACAGAGAGGAATTTAACTTTAAAACACAAATTAGATGATGTCTTCACGTTTATTACTCTGGCTTTAAAAACAGTCTTGGTGAACGTACAGGCATGTGACTGAGAAAGTGGGTTGAGAACTACCTGCCAATTTGGATCCATCCCTGATGGCCTTCTAGAACTGAGAACAGCAGACGGATGCCCAGCCATGGCCATCTCATGTATCGCTGTGTCCTCTGTGATCTACTCTCTGTAATCTAGGTCATGGTTAATTCACATTTAGCCTAAATCCCTTTTCTGCAAGTGCTTGATGCCCCTCCTGCATCTCTGCAGTGGTTTTCAACCTCTACGAGCAGCACATCTATCCCTCATTGCATCAGGTTAGATCCACGCCCTAACTTCAGCCTGCTTGAATCCATAGATGTTTGATTCTACTATCCAAAAGATTCACTATCTCTCTTTCTACTAAACCTGCCTCCTTTATCTTTATCCAATCCTCTGAAAATGTTGATAATCAGGAAAATAAATGTGTTGCATAGAGTAGGAAAGGGAAAGAGTGGCATTTGCAGAACATCAACTATAGTCCCCTTTAAGTTTACTAGCATGCAGTGGAGTTTCAGTTCTTAAAATCGTGTGCTCTAGGGTCAGACTACCTGGCAGTGTTACTCTCTGTATGAGGTCAGGGAAATTACTCAGCCTCTCTGAGTCTTAATTTTCCCAACTGTAAGGTGGCAGGGATGATGGTAAAACCAACCTCACGGGACTCGTTGGGGCTACTTATTAAGCTAATGCATGTTTCTGACACATAGTAGTACTCAGTAAACATTAGGTTTTATTATTACCTCGTAGAATCTTCATGACAAGACTTCACATGTTATTCTTTCCATTTATAATTAAGGAAATTGAGGCTCAGAGAATTTAGGTAACTTGCAAGTAGCCTCAATAGCAAAGTGGACCTGGAAACCTATCCCAGGTTGCCTGTCCCCAAAGATTCATCAGTGCCACCACATAAGGCTGCCACCCGGGAAGGTGCTGCATGCACATTTTCTGATGAGTGTGACTTCTCTCATCGGTTCCAGCCATCACAATTCAGTGTTTTCTTTCCTGTACAACTGAGGAAGAGACAGAAAAGTAGGTGTCAGGCAATAGGTAGTGGAAACAATGGCCCTAAGAGTCTATCCTTCTCTGTTAATTTCCCCAGAAGCAGAAGCTCATCTGACAAGGGAGAATCCTTAATTACCAATTCCTTTCAAAGGACCAGAGCGTGGGTTTGTTTAATCGAAATTCACAGCATGTCCCAGCAGACAGCAAAATATACTTGGCTTTAGATCACAGGCTCGGAGGGAAAATGGCGGCGGGAATGGAGCACCCGTGTCGGGACACAGCGCGATCCTGAGTAGGAATAACCTTAGTGTGATGAGTTCTACAACACATAAACACACACAAACAAACATGCTCAACCGAGATAAAAACAAAAAATAGATGTTTTTTGCAGGGTCCGCTGGGTGAGATCCTACCCAGCAAAGATTCTCTACCTCTGAGCAGCTGCTCAGTCAAACTTCAGACAAGCGTTAGACTATTACCCTGGCCTCTATGTGTGAGAGGAATGAAGGATGATTCTATCAAAGGTTCGGGAGAAGTAGGAAGGGAGTCAAAACACTAGAGAGGCCTTTATATCACCTGTGGGAGATCACCAGCTCAGAATGGGATTCTTGCAGGTTAAAATAAGTCATGTTCCTATATGCAAAGCAGCCCCAGACAGCATGATGGCTGGGGGCTAAATATATTCCAGCCCTGCATAATTTCTTCCTGCTCTTCCTTACTACTGCCCTCTCTGTGTGATGAGTGAAGGCTGAAAACCTCCCCTCCTTTCCCAGGACCAGGTATCTGGTCAGCAGTGAGCAGCTCTGAGTATTAGGCTTGGCAGCTTCCTGAAAGTTAAAGGAGAGAAAGAAGCTGATGGTCCAGCGTTTGAGTTTAGACCAGAGGCTGCCAAGCTTGTCTGCACATTAGAATCCCCTAGGGAAGCTTTTAAATATTCCAAAGCCCCAGCCACATTCCAGGTCAAGTAAAACACAATCTGCCAGGTGGGACACAGGTACCAGGAGCTCTGAAGCTCCTAAGGTGATTCCAATGTGCAGACAAGTTTGGAAACCACAGTTTAGACTTATGATTCTTACATGGCGAAGATTTTGTCCTCCAGGGGACATACAGTAATGTCAGGAGATATTTTTGTTTGTCACAACTGAGGGACAGTGCTACTAACATCTAGTGAGAAGAGACCAGGGATGCTGCTAAGCAGCCCCACAACAAAGAATCATCTGGCCCAAAATGTCAACAGTGTCCAAACTGAGACACCTGAATTAGACCCTTCCTACTCAAAGTGGTTCACGGGCCAGCAGAGTCTCAGGCTCTGCCCCAGACCTACTGGATCAAAATCTCCATTTTTACAAGATACCCTGGTGATTCGTATGCACATTGCATTTTAGAAGCACTAGTGTGGATTTTCTTATGGCTGTGTTACGTAGTGGGTGGTCTCTTCAGTTTACACTGGTAGGCTGGGTTTTTCATACGCAGTAACCATTTCTTTCACATCCAAAATTCTCCCATAACTCCTCAAGCTTGTGTACAGGAACTGCTCAGGTTTCGGAATCAGACAGATCAGGTTTGGATGCTAGCCCTGTATAGGATTATTTTAAATAACTTAACCTCGCTGTGTCTCACTTGCCTAATCTGCAAATGGAGAAATAATGTAAAGAGGAGATAAACTATGCAAAATCAGAGATGGCATCAGCAGTGTGAGTTGGAATTTGAGCTTCACTGACTTATTAGATTTTTACCTTGAGCAATTTGTTTTCCTTCTTTGAACCTTAATATCCTTGTCTATTAAAAAAATGCATAATCACACCTGATCATGGAGAAGATTATCCAGATGATGGATTTTTTAAAACTATCCGGAAGTAGGAGCTTACATGCAGTTATGTGCTTGCTTCCTGAAATACCGCAAGAGCTCTATAAATGGGATAATCTTTAATGCAAATTGCACACCAAAGCCTCAAAAATCCCTTCCCTGGATCAATCTGGTGGGGCATATGTTCACCGTCATAGAGTCCCCTTCATCCATTCCAGGGCAAGCACATAAGGAGGACCTTGTCATCTGCTGTTTTGTCTCGTCGCCTCTGTTGAGACTGCAACTCGAGGGTGGGCGTCACGCTTGCCTTCCCCTGCAGTACCACCGCAATCCCATTTGCATTTGGGTGATGTGCACAGAAAGTCCTCCACAAATGTTTTCCACTAGTGATTCAGGATTCAAAGCCCCAAAACTAGTAAGAGGGACCTGGTACTCAAACCTGGTTCCCCCAATCTCAAAACCCACTCTGGCTTAATGTCACCACCACACTTCTCTGTGGCAGGTGTTCCTGCCCGCTAGACCCCCTGCCACCCACACACAGAATGTAGCACTCAATTAACAAGTGCCTGGTGGTGTTTTCTGGAGGGGCACGAGTGTTCGTCTTTTCTCCTCAACTGGTCTGTAAATGCCTCTCAGCAGGGGCTGTGCTTTTTTCTCGGGGCCCTTAATACACGGCTGAGCACACAGCAGGAGCTCAATAAATCTCTGTTATTAGACTGACTGATTGGTGAGACAGTTGATTGATTAGGCCGAGGCTGACTGGAGTAAATCAGCATGAGGATAAGAGTTCCACGATGCAATGACATAACTTCCAACTCTGTCTTCAGAAAACTCCTGCAGCTCCCTAAGGATTTTATGACATTCAGGATAGACCTACTCACCCAGCCCTCACCAAGAACTCCCAGAAAGTAAATCAGACACTCTATAAAAGGAAAATGGTGAGGAGGGAAATGGGAGGCAATAAAGTCCCATCCCCATAAGACTTCTTGGTCTTTTGCTATGCGGAAGAAGCCCAACAGGGCACTTTGGAACAACAATTCGGCTGAGCATGGAGAAGTGAGAAAAGAAGCAGCCAGGAGGAATGGGAGCTGAATGGAGCACAGAGAACAGCCCACAAGGCAGAGCCGTGAAAAGTTTCCCTGGTGGGTTTGCAACAGGAATGACTGCCCATTCGGACAGGTGGGACAGGCAAACACCTGGCTTCAGGGGCTGCATAGAACATCACCAACACCTACAGGTGCACGAAGGCCACACCAGATGAGCCAGAACAGTTCCAGCTATTCTATGCAGGCAGCAACGCTCCTGCCTCCGAGTGACTCGGCTTTAACCCAGGAACCACGGAGCAGGAGAATGGGGAGGCTCCAGTTCCAACCATAAAGCACAGACTGGAGCCACCAGACTTAAGCACAGAGATTTTCAATTCTACTTTCTGCCACAGACTAAGAACCTGCTACGTGCCAACTGTGGCAAAGCCACCAGGAAAGAGACATAAGTGAGCACTGACTTTGCCCAGGTTAAAGGAAGGCATCCTATGTGGCCAAGTTGTCGTAAGAGAAAGCAAGCCGGACCAGTACTGCTACCACTCCTGCCTCCTCCAGACTGTGCCCAGAGGTCTACAGGAGAGATCTTCAATTATTCCCTGAAATAAGGGTCTTCTAGGCCTTCACTGGGGTTGGGTTTGCCCAAACTCCTCACCTTCCTTGGGAAATGGAGGACAGCTGTGCGTTCACCAGGACAGGGCTGAAAATCACTAGATCTTAAGCTACGGGGAGAGACCAGCCAGACAGCCAAAGGAGGAGCCATAGGACCCTAAGGAGAGAAACAAGAGCAAAGCGAAAACCCAAACCCAAGACCACAAAGCAGTGAAGGACTCTAGGACTTATGAGATGAGGAAGAAACAAGGGCTGAGAGTAAGAGAAGGGCCTATTTGGGAGACATTCTCCAAAGAAAGAATTTTTTTTTCTGGGCTGGTGTTCATTTGCCACCCATAGGAAAAGGCTATTCATGGGACCCAAAGAAAGAAAACAGCCAAGATCTGCCTCTAGGGAGCCTGGAGATGTCATTTCTTTCTTCGGGGGAATGACAAGAAGTCTGAGATCCCTATTTCTCACACTTCTAAGAGCTAAGATTTGGATCAGTCTGGAATTTTTTGCAGATTGCCTTGAAAGTAACACAGGAAGGGAGAGACCCTATTCCAGTACTATGGAGAAATGACCTGGATATAGGAGTATCACACTCAGGAAGGAAAAGAGTGCATTTAAAGGAACGATAGTATGTCAATGCTATTTTGTAATTACTGGTGATGAAAAACAGAAACTGTAAGATTTTTAGATTTACATATACATACACACTCACGCCTTCTCCCCAAAATAAAGTTTGCTTATGGTGAAGCTAAATAGTTCAGCAGCCCTTCTCTAATAATGTAATAGAAGGATCCCCTTCTATCACTGTTAATACTTTAAAAAGAGAAATTTTCATAAAGGCTGATAGGAATAAAGTGTGGTCCTTCAAATTATAAGGTAGGAAGGCAATGGATTTTTGACCACCATAACCCTGGGAGCACCTTTTGACCAAATGCTGTATATAATTTATCTCATTTGACCCTCGGAAGGGCCCAGCGAGATAACACTATTATCTCACTTACTGATAACAAAATTGAGATTCAGACAGGTGTAACAATGTTCTCAAGATCTCACAAGTAGCAAGACTGCAATTTCATGAAGCATTTGCAATTGACAATCTGATACTGGCTTCTGCCCATTCTCCTACCAAACACTCACGCACCCCAACACTCAACTGTCCTGGGTGGGATGATGCATCTCCCCTACACATCATTCGAAAAGCAGATGAGTTTAAAATCAATCTACCTAATGACCAGGTAGCATCCTCCCTTCCATACCCAGACCCTGATTCCCAAAATAGGTGACAAAATGCAGTGTCTTTTCAGAGCACATTGATATTCATCCCGATTACCCTCCTCCTTTTCCATTCCAGTGGCACATAAATTACTAGCTCTGTTGTCAAATGCTGCATGTAATTGTGTTTAGCATAACATCCCGGGGGAAAAGAAAAGCCATCGCTTTGCAACCGGCCAAAACATGCCTGGATACACTTAGAAGGAAGGTCGCAGCCTGGTGTCCACCCTCTCTCTTCCTCCCACCCCCAGAGCCTGGCAAGCTGAGGCAGGGCCCAGGCTTGTCAGGAGCCACAAACAGAAATAGAAATCAGTTCAAATAGGGTGAGTAATTCGAAGGAAGAAACAGTGAGCCTGTTGCTTGTCAAACCATGCAAACCTAGGCAAGAAAAAGTACTTCCACTTACTTTTTGGAGCCCAAAGTACAGGTTCTTTTGGGGCTATTATAGTAAATCAGTGGAAAGAAACAAACACTTTTGTAAGTAATTACTATGAGCCAGATCATGTAATAATAATCCCATCTAATCCCTGCTGCAGCCCTTGGGGTAGGTAAAAACCTAATGTCAGGACTGCTATCTGACTTGCCCAAGGTGGCACAATGGATAAGCACGGAGCTGGCAGGTTTTTTCCCTTGCACGTACATTTCTGAGCCACATTCTTTATCCCAGCAATTCTCCCTCCCCACGCCTCCCCCAGCGCACACCCAGGCATTCATTCGCCTCATCTATTCCCTCAGAACCTTGCTTCAATCTCCGGCCAGTTCGAAACCAACCAACCAAGAGGCAGTCCTGGGAAAATGCCCCCAAATTAATATAGTTCCCTTGAAAACCAAGAAGAAATTATCCTCACCATCACTGTCAATTAGAATTAAGTTTTACTGCAGAAAAAAAAAATGAAAAAAAAAATATTATGACTTAGTTTTCTCACCTAAAAGAAGTGCTGGTAAAGCACTCCAACGTGATTGAGGAACCCAGCCTTTCTCGATCTTTCTGTTTGTCATCTTCAGAGTGTGCCTTCCATTTCTAAAGTTCCCTCATGGTCCAAATGGCTGCTGGAGCACTTACCATCACCTCTGAGTGCCAGGCAACTGCAAGGACAAAACAGGAAAGAACAAATGAGCTATCCCTCCTTGAAGGAGCCTTTCTAAAATTTCTACCCAACAACTTCAGCCCACATTGTGGCAAGAAACGCTCACATGCTCATACCTAGCTACAAGGGAGCCTGGAAAATGTTGTCTACATTGGGCACACTGTCACCCTGACTTACACCAGGATTCTTTCCCTATGGAAAAAAAGACAAAATAAAGATAATGGGTAGCAAACAGCTGTCTCTGATATAATCACCACCACCCACCATTATCATTCTTTACTAAAGACTTGCTACACACACCTCTGCTCAGTTCATCCCACAATAACCCTACAAAGGGTACCATTTCCCCCATTCTACAGGTCCAGAAACAGGGGCTCAGGGAGGCTAAGTAACTTACACAAGGTCACAGAATTGAGATGTGAACCTGGAAGATAGATTTATTATTAATTATATTTGTCCCAAAGTCAAACTCCATGAAGTACCCACTTGACATGAACATCTAATGTGATTTAAGTTAATCGAGTAGAATCTTGTTTTTTAATTCAGAGGCAACTGTTTACCCAGATATCATGTCACTAATCTATCCGGATCCAAAGCCCAGAATTCTAACTACTGCACTGCACTTTTACCCTCCCATGCACCAAACAATGGTAGAGAAATTTGCAGAATCAAAGAATCCTCAAATAAGCCAAAAAAGAAGCTCCCTGAAATGCTTGAGTAAGAACCAACTATAGTCCCTCAGAAATGTCACCTTAGAATAGTGAGATTATCCCCATTTTACTGAGGAGGATACCAGAAAGGCTGCCAGTGATCCCACACACAAACATACATGTACACACACACACACACACACACACACACACACACACACACCCCTAATCCTCCCTCTCTCAGTCGAGTAAGAATCATTCTCCTGAACAAAGAAACAGATTTTCCCTTCTTCCTTTTCCTCTACTTAGAGCTAAAAATTCATTTCTCTCCTTAGTTTATTCCTTCTGTGTCCTAAAATCTCCTTCATAGTTATTTTTCTTAGGATTTATTTTTCATTACTATTTTAAGAGAGAGGCTGACCTGGTTATAAATCTCACTCCTTGGTCTACACATCCTCAGGCCTAATTAGATGCCAAGTTCCCAAAAGGGGTAAGAAGGGCAGCGGCCAAGAAAAATATAGCTTCCCAGTTCTTACAGAGAACAGTGAACATTCTTATTAGACTTATAAGAAAAATGTCAAACCATGGAAAGCCTTAGCCAGTAGCATTCTGGCATTAAATGGCTCAGCCTGGAAGACCTGAAACCTGCCTAGTATGGTTCCCTTAAATGTTCCACATGAGGATTATGTTAATACATCATGTCAGTAACAACAGCAAACATACCTGAAAAGACCATATATAGAATCGGACCTGGAAAATCATTTCCACCATTTACTGGGCACCTATTCAAGTCCTAGCACCAGTCAATAGGGAGGATATAGGAGCAAGAAAGCCCAGGACCCTTAAGTAACTCATAGTCTAGTGGGTGAACCAGATATATGAGCTAACATTTCCAAACCACAGACTTAGAGCACTGCCTTCTGATGAGTTGGCTGCTTTCAAAACTCGGAAGAGGTTCATCAGCTCTCTCTAGGGCTGTAAGAGGGGACTTCCTGGAGAAGAGAGCACGAGAAGATGAGCCTTGACTCCCGATGTCATGCAGAGGTAGTGAGCCTCCTTTGGAGAACCTCAGTTCTCACTCTTAGAATTTGTTTTGATCCTGTAAAGCCAGGCCAGGTGCTGAGAGCCTCCTGATTATTTTCCCTAGGGAAGTGCCCTGAAGTGTTCAGCGCTGTGAACCATCACACTAAACAGCAGAGTCAAGCTGGATTCCACAATACCCACCCGCTGTTGAGATCCATGTGCTTTCTGTGAGAGCTTGTGCACTACATGCACGGAAATGTGCAGGGTGCCATTATCATATTAGTTTCCGGTGGGTATGCATTGCCTGTATGGGGCCACCTGCAAGTAATTTGTCCTGCAGGGTTTGTGGGCAGGACTGTTGATGGAGTCAGTGAGCTGGTAGCAGCATCCATGGTCAGCTATTGAGAACTGCTGCCAGTTGCTGAGTACCCCAACCCTTTTTCCCTCAGTCCCCTGATGATTCATCTGCACCAATCCCCTTATTGTTCTGAATGGAGCCAAACAAAAGTAGGCTTCCTGCACAGTGTCCTGCAAGACTAGGGAGTCCAGGCACTCCCTTCACCTTCACTTTCCCTCACAGAAGAAATCACAGGCTGAGGAAGCCACTCTAGGATGTTTTGGTTCCACCAGGGTGCTGGAAGCACTCAGCGGGATGCTAGGGCTCCCATAAATGCATTCTAATCTGCAGATGGTTGCCAAAGTTGGTGGTTTCTGTGGGAGGATGAAAGCTGGAACCTCCAATTCCACTATCTTGTTGGACTTTCATTGTTGCTTAGTTGGACATTCAGGCTGTTGGGGGAACTGATAACTTGAGATATTGATAAGATTGGCATGGGGGGTAAAAGGAGAGAAGTGAGGTAGCTGGGAACTGAGGAAAAAGTTAAGCAAGAAAAAGAAATACTGCATAAAGACTCAAAAAATTGTGTTTTCTCTTTAGTGTGTGATTTAACATTTTCTCAGTTTTCAAAAAAATCTTCAGTAAAAGTCAACGCTAATTACTAATGCACGTAGAGGTAGATCTGCTTCTGGGGCTGGGACAAGCTCCTTATCATAGCCTCAAGAGTGAGAGCCGGGGTTCTCTAAGGGAGGTTCACTACCTCTGGATGATATCAGGAACTAGACGACACTAAGAAAAAAATTAACACAATGGCAAAAGTAAGTTTTTGCTTATCAATAATTACTTTAAATATAAATTGATTAAATTATCCTGTTAAAAGACACATAGTGATTTTTAAAAAACAGAAGATTCAATATATGCTACAAGAAACTCACTTTAGCTTTAAGGACACACACAGGCTAAAAGTGAAGGGGTAAACATGTATTTTCAGGGCTGGCCAGTTAGCTCGGTGGGTCAGAGTGCAATGCTGTAACACCAAGGTCAAGGGTTCAGATCCCAATACTGGCCAGCCACAAAAAAAAAAAGAAAAGAAAAGAAAAAGAAAAATATATTCCATGTAAATGGTAACCAAATGAGAGCAGGAGTGGTTATACTTATATCAGACAAAATAGACTGAAATAAAGTCAAAAACTGTTACGAGAGACAAAGAAGGTCATTATATAATTATAAAGGAGTCGATTCATCAAGAGGATATAACAAATGTTAATATGCACCCAACATTAGTACACCTAAACATATAAAGCAAATATTAACAGAACTGAAAGGAGAAATTAAAGACAATAAAATAATAGCAGGGGACTTCATACCCCACTTTGGACAATGGACAGATCATCCAGACAGAAATGATAGAGAAACAGCCACTTGAACACTGTAGACTAAATGGACCTAACAGACATGTACAAAACATTTAACCCAACCGCAGTAGAATGCACATTCTTTTCAAGCACACAAAGAACAGTCTCCAGAATAGATCAGATGTTAGGCCACAAAACAAGTCTTAACAAATTTAAGAAGATTGAAATCATATCAAGAATCTTTTCCAACCAAAATGGTATCAATAGAAACCAATACAGAAAGAAAATTAGAAAATTCACAAATTTGTGGAAATTAAGCCACACCCTCCTGAAAAGCCAATGAGTGAAAGAAATCAAAAGAGCAATCAAAACAGATCTTGAGACAAATAAAAATAGAAATACAATGTATCAAAACATGAATGTAGCACAAGCAGTTATAAGAAGCAAGTTTGTAGTAATAAATGCCTACATTAAGAAAAAAGAGATGGCTCCAGGGAAGCTGAACCCAGCTGCAACAGTCACACTGCCACCACCACCCCGGGGCACCACTGGGACCCTGAGGTATGGAGCCAGGGGAAGCCAAACCCAGCCACAACCACACCAAAAACACCATTTCCATGTAGGTGGCCCACCATAGCCATGGCGGCCGCAATAGTGGCTATCCTCTATAGCAGCCGTCATAGCCACTAGTACAGATGGCATGCCAGACAGTCAACTGCATTGACACAAGGAGAGCCACCAGGGGAAACTGCCCCCCCCAAAAAAGAAGAGGTCCTCTCTCTCCACAAGCACATTCCAGGGTAATAGAAGAAGCATCAGCTTCTTTACGATAATAGGGGAGGAGTTGACCACACTTATCTCAGTAGTGGACGGATCTTCTAGGCAACAAATCAACAGAGGAACAGTTAATCTATCAAATAGAGAGAACAAATCTGTGGTTATTAGAGGGGGCAGGGGTGGAAGAAGGGGAGAGATTGGATTATGGGCATGAAGAATAAGTATGATTTATAATAATGAATATGCTAAGAAAAAAGAAAAAAAGAAAAAAGAAAAATCTAAAATAAACTAACTTTACAACTCAAAGAAGTAAAAAAATTAAAAACTTTAAAAAATAAAAAGCTGAGCCCAAAGTTTGTAGAAGAAAGGAAATAACAAATATTAGAGCAGAAATAAATAAAATAGAGACTAGAAAAACTATAGTAAAAATCAACAAAACTAAGAGATGATTTTTCTAAACAGATAAACAAAATTGACAAACTTCAGCTAGACAAAGAAAAAAAAAGAGAGAAGACTCAAATAAATAAAAGTATAAATGAAAGAGTAAATATCACAACTGGTACCACAGAAATACAAAGGATCATAAAAAATTATTTGGAAAATTGCATTCCAACAAATTGGATAGCCTAGAAGAAATAGATAAATATCTAGAAATATGCAACCTATCAAGACTGAAAGATGAAGAAATATAAAATCTGAACAGGCCAATAATAGGGAGGGAGATTGCATTTGTAATCAAAAATCCCCCAACAAAGAAAAGCCCATGACCAGAGGGCTTCACTGGTGAATTCTACCAAACATTTAAAAAATAATTAACTCA